TTCATTGGGAAACACGGAAAACACGAGTGAACGTGAGGTCTTGTGTGTTTGATTTTGTTTCTCAGATTCTTGTTGAATCTTGAACAAAATCTGATCAGAATTTTTTTTAATTCTGTGGGTTGGGAAACACTGTGTGAGAAAACTCTGAGTGTATTGTGCAAAGTAGAAGATGAACGGAAACGGCAACATGAACACCAAACTTCCAGTATTTGACGGTAAAAATTGGAATCGTTGGATGATCCAAATGCGTGTACTGTTTGGTGCTCAAGATGTTCTGGATCTTGTCACTGATGGTTATGTTCCGGTAGCAGCAGATGCGACAGATGAACAGAAAAACGCGCAGAAGGAAGTAAGGAAGAAGGATCAGAAAGCATTGTTCTTCATTCATCAATGTGTGGATGTAAACGTGTTTGAGAAGATTGCAGACTCTACAACAGCAAAGGCTGCATGGGACACTCTGGTGAGATGTTATGGTGGTGACGCATCAGTGAAGAAGGTGAAGCTTCAGTCCTTGAGAAAGCAATATGAGAATCTCAACATGAAGAATAATGAGAAAGTTTCTGAATACATCTCCAGAGTGATTCTGATCACTAATGAGATGAAGGCATGTGGAGAAACTCTTTCTGAAGAAACAATCATGGAGAAAGTGTTGAGATCCCTTACTCCTCAATTTGATTACATTGTGGTAGCAATAGAACATTCCAAAGATCTGAGCACAATGAGAATTGAAGAGCTGCAGAGCAGTCTAGAAGCGCAAGAGTTGCGTCTGACTGAGAGAAACTTTGAAAAGGAAGTAGAACAGCAGGCTCTGAAAGCAACTTCTGATAGGAGGTATCAGAAGCAGTCAAAAGCCAAGAGAAGATCTGATGGTGGTCAGAAGTCAGAAACCTCAACCTCTGATAGACAAAAGAATGCTCAGAAGGGAAAAGAGAAGTATGACAAGAAGAAGATCCAATGTTACTGTTGTAAGAAGTTTGGTCACTTTGCTAGAGATTGTTGGTCAAACAAGGAGAAGAAATCAGAAGAAGCAAATATAGCCAGAAGTTCTGATGACGAATCTGTGCTATTGATGGCCTCTGAATCTGATGATCTGACAGACTGGTGGTATATGGACACTGGCTGTTCAAATCATCTTACTGGAAACAAGAAATGGCTGGTTGACTTTGACTCTGAAAAGAGGACAAAGATCAGATGTACTGATGACAAATATCTTAATGCAGAAGGTATGGGAAATGTCAGAGTGACTCTGAACAATGGGAAAATAGCATTGATTCAGAATGTGTGGTATGTACCTGACATCAGAAGCAATCTGATGAGTGTGGGACAATTAATTGAGAAAGGTTTCTCAGTTACCATGAAGGACAATCTTCTGAAGCTGTATGACTGTAATCAGAAGTTGATTATGGAGTCAGAACAGGGAAGGAATAGAACATTCAAGGTGAATGTCAGAACTGCAGACTCAGAGTGTCTTAGTGCAACAAGTACTGAGAAGGAGAGTGAGTTGTGGCACAGAAGATTTGGTCATTTGAATTTCAGAAGCTTACAACATCTGAATTCAAAGAAATTGGTACATGGAATTCGTGCAATTAAGAAGCCTGAAAAGTCATGCAAAGTTTGCATGGAAGGAAAACAACCAAGATTGCCATTTGCATCAGAAGTTGCTCCAAGAGCAAAACATGCCTTGGGAGTTGTACACTCTGATGTGTGTGGTCCATTTCCAGTAGCATCAATTGGAGGGAATAAATACTTTGTGCTGTTTGTTGATGAATTCACAAGAATGACATGGGTATCCCTTATTAAGTTCAAACACGAGGTGTTTGATGAATTCAAGAAGTTCAGAATGAAGGCTGAGAATCAGAGTGGTCAGAAGTTGAAGATTCTTAGAACTGATGGTGGAGGTGAGTATAACTCCAAAGAGTTCCAGAAGTTCTGTGAGCAGAATGGAATTGAGCATGAGGTTACTGCTCCCTATACCCCTCAACACAATGGTCTTGCTGAAAGAAGAAACCGCACTCTGCTTGATATGGTGAGAAGCATGCTAAAGGAGAAGAAGCTTCCTCATAAGCTCTGGGGAGAAGTTGTTGCCATTGCAACGTATGTACTCAACAGATGTCCTACGAAAAAGTTGAAGGAAATAGTTCCAATACAGAAGTGGACTGGAGATAAGCAAAGTGTTAGTCATCTAAAGGTGTTTGGTTCTGTTTGCTATAAACATGTTCCAGAAGCCAGAAGACAGAAGCTGGATGATAGAAGCAAAGTGATGATTCTGATAGGGTACCACAGTACAGGTGCATACAAGCTCTATTGTCCAGAAACCAATAAAATTGAATTCAGCAGAGATGTGATTGTGAAGGAATCAGAAGTTTGGAATTGGGATAAGTCTCAATCTGATTCTGATGTTAGAACCTCTGAAGAAAGGCCAGAGTTAAGAATTTCTGAAGTTGAAGTAAACCCTGATATTGACTCTGACTCTGATACTGATTCAAACTCTGAAGAAGACTCAGAAGATGAAGGTGACCCAGATGACCCAGACTCTGATGATTCAGACTCTGATGGCAATCCAGATCTTGGTGGCAATTCAGACTCTGGAAATATGCCAGACTCTGAAGATGGTCAAAGCTCTAGAGGTCAATCATCTGAAGCTAGAAACTCTGAAGCTCAAGACTCTGAACAAGTTCAGAGACCACAAAGAATCAGAAGCGTTCCCAGAAGATTTGCAGAATTTGACATGCTGCAAGACACTGAAGTAGACTCTGAAGGAGAAGTTATTCAGTGTGCCATGTTAGTAGACTCTGAACCCATAAGTACAGAAGAGGCTCTTAAGCAGAAGCTCTGGCTGACGGCCATGAAAGAAGAACTTGATGCTATAGAGAGAAACAAGACTTGGAAGCTGACAGAACTTCCAAAAGACAAGAAAGCCATCAGCGTCAGATGGGTTTTCAAGCAGAAGTTAAAGCCAGATGGCTCAATTGGCAAACATAAAGCAAGGTTGGTAGCCAGAGGATTTCTACAAAAACCTGGGCTGGATTACTCTGAAGTGTTTGCACCTGTAGCAAGACATGAAACAATCAGAATGGTGATTGCAATAGCTGCTAACAGGAATTGGCCTCTGATGCATTTAGATGTAAAATCTGCATTTCTGAATGGTCCATTAGAAGAAGAAGTTTACGTGTCACAACCTCTTGGATTTGTGAAAAAGAATCAGGAAGGGATGGTGTACAGATTATACAAAGCTCTATATGGACTGAAACAAGCGCCTAGAGCTTGGAATCAGAAGATTGATTCATTTTTCAAGAAGCAAGGCTTTCAGAAATGTGAGATGGAGTACGGTGTCTATGTTCAGCATACTTCTGAAGGCAATATGACTCTGGTATGTTTATATGTTGATGATATACAATTGACTGGAAGTTCTGAACAGGAGATAGCCAAGTTCAAGAAAGTTCTGATGAATGAATTTGAAATGACTGATCTAGGCAAAATGACATACTTTCTAGGGATGAAGTTCAGATATTCTGAGAAAGGTATCATTTTGCATCAGCTCAAGTATGAATTAGAACTTCTGAAGAGATTTGATCTGAAGAATTGTAAGATGGCTGTCACACCTTCTGATACAAATCAGAAACTGGATTCAGACTCTGAAGGAAAGGATGTGGACGCTACAACCTTCAAACAGTTGGTTGGTTCTCTGAGGTATCTGTGCAATACCAGACCTGATATTTGTTACTCAGTTGGGATGGTTAGTAGGTTCATGAGTAAACCTAAGTGGTCCCATTACCAAGCTGCTGTCAGGATTCTGAGGTATATCAAAGGAACTCTGAAGTATGGAGTGTTATTTCCCTCTGAAGGAAATAATGAGTCAGAACTTCTGAGTTATTCAGACTCTGATTGGTGTGGAGACAGAGTTGACAGAAGAAGTACATCTGGGTACTTGTTCAAATTTCTGGGAGGTCCTATTTCTTGGTGTTCCAAGAAGCAACCTGTTGTGGCATTGTCAACCTGTGAAGCTGAATACATTGCAGGTGCTGTTACTGCATGCCAAGCTGTGTGGATTCTGAATCTGTTGCAGGATCTGAAGATTACAGTAAGCAAACCTCTGAAGTTGATGATTGACAACAAGTCTGCAATCAACCTTGCTAGAAACCCAGTGCTGCATGGGAGAAGCAAGCATATTGAGACCAAGTATCATTTTCTGAGACATCAAGTTCAGAGTGGAGTGTTAGAAGTTGTACACTGCAGCACTCAGAAGCAGTTGGCAGATGTTCTGACGAAAGCTATCAAGACTGATCAATTTCTCAGATTAAGGGATGGAATTGGTGTTACAAGTTTTGATGGAATATGAATTAAGGGATGGTATTAGTAATAATTCATATTTTATTATATTATTTTCTTAAACCCATAAGTTTGTTAGAGGGTATTTTAGTATTTTATCTTATTCTAGTAACCCTAGTTTTAGCTTATAAATAGGGTGACAATCATTGTAACCAAATATCATGTTTTGTAGCCGTCATTCTCTTTAATAGAATATTTCTCTATTTCATCATTTATTCTATCTTTGCACCAACACTACTTACATAACAAGCTATAGTCAAATGAGTAATATAGTATGTAAATTTCACTGTAAGTACTCTATAAAGTTGAAGATTCTCCTTAATCTTGCATCACATTGTGTCTCCCCTAATCTAATTTTTAAAACCATAAAACAAAGCTACATTGTGTCATAAGCTGCACAACAATGATAAAATGCCAAATAAGCTATCAAAACACAATTAAAAAGATAAAACTCAACCTTCATGATGCTGAAGGAACATGAAGGCCCAAATTAATAAAAGCTGGTTAAGTATTTCATTGTGAGAGGTTCATTTTGCAGCCCAGAACAAATTATTGGAGTGAAATTTACAGTATCTAGGACCTAACTAACAACTCTTAAGAAAATGAAGTACTTAACCGCCATGAAAATGCTGCATTTCTTTCTACTAAACCACCAGAGTTCTAGCATAGAACTATACGGAAGAATTCAGATTCTTTAGCTTGGCTTTGGCTGAATCAAGTTGTTCTATCCAACACAAATTTTGGGAGGAAAAATGTTAGCAGAACTGTTTGGCACCTTAAAGCAAATTGTTCTAAAAATTGAAAACAATGTCAAAAGTGAAGAATTCTTACTCTGCTCCATGCTTGTTGCTGTTTGGACGGTTGTGCGAAAAAACAAGTTCCCATTTTTCTGATAGACAGTCTACAGCAACAACGACAACAACAAAATAAGTCCTTTATGATTGTTGTCATCCCTTTACACAATTATCACAAAGATCCCCTTCCTTTGTTAATATAGAATTGGGGGAATGTAAGGATAAAACTAAAGGAATCCCTTTATTTTTGTTCAGATTTCATAGCAAGGAAAACAAAATAACAAGACAGCAAAATAATGGAAAGGCTGAACATGTGGCGTGTGTTTGGCCTGGCGGTGGTTTGAATGAAAACGGATATTTAGGGAGTAGCTTGAATGTCTGTCTACCTTCAACAAATCACGGCAAAACAAGCATTAGGATGTGATAAATCAAGCTTCAACGCGGAACCAAACAGGCATGTAGATTATACTAAGTGACTCTATGTTTCTGCATTTTACACCAACCAAACGCGCACGTGCATGTGGTAGACGGTGAGATTTCTGGCTTCTCAAATCAAAGGCCAATTAGGACATTGAGATCCCGTGATTCTCAAACGGGTACCCAAACACACACTAAGATTTTGCGACAAATATTATTATTACTACTACTATCAATAACTATACTCATTGTATTTTTTAATAGCTAGGCAAATATTTGTTCACGAGCATGATTAGTTCTGCGATGAGGATAATTGATTTTGAGTGAATTGATTTTGTAGAACTGATTCTGATTAAAAGTGAGCTAGATGTAAATATAAAGTGATTTATGTTTAAATACATTTATATAAAAATGAGTTGAACAACCAAATTATAGCTTCACCTATAATCAATTATGGAGACAAAATCAATTTTACTTTAAAAGTATCATACACCTCAAAATCATTAGAGAAAAACTAAGGCAATAAAGTAGTTTCCCAAATCGAAAATAATTGACATTGAGCTAAGCAAAAAAAGTAATTGAAATTTGAACTGAACAGAGAAAAGGAGAATTAACCCTTAAAAAACTAAACTCCCGATTCAAAGCGATTAATGAATTGCTAAAGCGAGAAAATTAGATGAATAAAAAAACCCTAACCCTAACCCTATGAATGTATGTATGTATTGAATTGGGTGAATTGAAAATGAGAAGAAAAGGTTACTGACTCTGGAAGAAGGTAAGGCGTTGAGCTCGGCTATGGCGACTTGATGACTCCTCATTTCGTTGTTCAGATCCAAACCAATCGAACCAGAAACTGATGCCATACCTGTGAGCAGTTTCTGCTAGAGTGAGAGCGTCTTCTAGAGCTTTCTTAATGAAAAATGCAACCAATATCTATGCTATTTCAAATTATTTTCCTAATAATGTTTTTATTTTAATTAAGTTATTTTACGATAAGATAAAAAGGAGAAATTTTTTAATGGAAACGCACATATTTTTATACTCTTATAAATATTTTTGCTATTTTAATTCAAAATTTTAAATTTATTTTTATGCAACCAAGTCAAGAAGATAAAGATTTTATTTTTATTTTTAATTAATTAAAAAATTATAATAAGTTATTTGTAAAAACTACCTTTGTTATATTTGTTTTTCGAAAATTTTATCCCATATTTCTATAATTATACTCATATTCCTACACTAAAAATTTTTGGATTAAAATACTCTCATACAAGTAGTTATAATTTTAGAAATTCTCCTTTCCATTTTCATTTTCGTCTAAAGTCTTTCAAAAGACATTTTTTGCTGCTGTATACTGGAACTCATTACTCAAGTCTTTCGATTCATAAAGTGCATAGCGGAGATGTTAGAGTAAGTCTTTCGGTTCTGTTTTCGTACCGGAAGCCATTGAAGAAGTCTTCTGATATTTTGGTTTTTTGCGTTACCAAAAGTGTTAATGCAAGTCTTCTGGTTCGTTTGCGTGAAGATTCATACTGGAACCCATATTTGAAGTGTTCCGGTTCGTTTTTTTATTATGTTTTTATTTTTGCAGTGGTGCCCACACAAGGCAAGGACGGTAAGATCCCTGATCGCGATCTAGGACGAGGCGAATCATCGAGAATGGCTGAGGAAGAGCATATTGGTGCATCTGCATCAGCAACACAATCTGTTGGATATCCAGACCGTACGATACCTCTCTTTTGGTTAAGTACGAACATCATATTGCTAGACATATATGGTTCGGTGAGGTAAGTAAACGACAATCATTTGATATTGAATAAAATCTGAATTTTTAATGTTGTATTTTATAATATATTTTCTTTTAATTGTTTTCAAGAGAGAGGTCTGAAGAAAGAGTTGAAGGTAGCAGGACATGGGTTGAAGCTGACTCAGGGGGTTTCACTGCAGCTTCCTAGAGAGATGGGGGGTTGGGTATCTAGATATGGTTTATCTTCACTCCAGAGAACCAGTTTGACGAAGATAGATATGAACCTGGTTTCCGCATTTGCAGAGAGATGACATCTAGAGACATCTTCATTTCATATGTCGTTTGGTGAGATAACGATTACTCTGGATGACGTCTCTTGTCTGCTTCACTTGCCCATTAGGGGAGTCTTCTGGAGGCCTCAAGATATCAGTGAATGACTTGCTATTGAGTGGGTTGTCGATTACTTAGGAGTGTCACAGAGAGTAGCAAAACAACAAGTTCGTGACTGCAAGGGTTCTTACTATAAGTTGGAGTGGTTATACAATCGATTCGTAGAGCATAGAGCTGCTTCTAGATTGGCATATGCGACTAGAGCTTATTTGTTGATGTTAGTGCGTTCCACAATTTTTGCGGACAAAACCTTTACGCTTCTCGAGACACGATACCTCTCATTATTTATGGACTTGGAGGACTTATCAGGATATAGTTGGGGAGTAGCTGCGTTGGTTACTCTTTATAGATATCTCGGAGATGCTTCCATGTTCAGTTGTAAGCAGCTTTGTGGTTATTTGACTCTCCTACAGGTATTTATTTTTATTTTTTTTATTTTGTTTTAACTAATTTTGTCTAGTATATTAATTTTATTTATTTAGTTTATTATGTTATAATTAATTATTTTAAATTAACTAATAGTATTAATTTTGTAACAGTGTTGGATTCATGAGTATTTTCAAACACTTGGAAAAAAAGGAGAGAATTGGATACCAGCTAATAATGTTGGTCTCCCTCGAGCGATGAGATGGTCCTATAGGCAAGGTGTTCTGAATGTGGATGACTTGCGACCTATTATTGAAGAGCTGACATCTGCCGATGGCGCCCATTCGAGGATCATAGAGTATGACGTCAGTTTGATGAGTTATGTCTATACAGGGGGTGTCTGAGGTGGGGTGACACTATTGGAAACATACTTGCCTGATAGATGTATGCGTCATTTTGGATACAGGCAGTATGTTCCACCTCCACTTCTTGAATATATGGTGGCTGGTGATATTGATGTTGAATGGATTAGTTGCCATCAGAGTGTTGGGGATGTGATTCGTCCGACAGCACTGGCCACCACCCCATCTGAGACAGATGATGGATATCATCAGTGGTATTATCGTGTTTCGCATCCTCGTCTGATACTGCCCCATCATAATGCGCCAAGAGAGGTTCCAGTTCCTGTTTACGAAGCAGGACCATCTGATTCTAGTTAGACTCATGTTTCTTCATTAATTCATCGTTATCTTCAACATGCTGGTGCTTAAAAAATGATCCACAGTTTGTTGAGTTGTTTGAAGTTTTACGTATTGCTCGTTTACATTGACTTATATTTACATTTATTTTTATGTGTTAACTTTTGGACTTATTGACTTATCTTTATGTTTATGTATTGACTTTTAGACTCACTTGATCTAGTTGGAATATGTTTATGTGTTAACTTGTAGACTTATGTTTAGTTTTAAATCCAGTTATGTGTTATTGAGATTAAAAATGAATAACATAATTCATGATTCGTGTTTTGAAATTAAAAATGAATAACATAATTTATAATTCGTAATGCGTTGGTAATATAGGCGTAAGTTGTTGTCAATGTTGTAGACGTCCTGAAAATTCTAGCATCCAAGATGTTGTTGCTGGAGAGTAAAACTTCTTTCAATCTACTGTCACTAGTGGCAATGGAAACTCTTCTTTCATGTTTACCTGATTAAAAAAAATAATCAAAACGTTAAGTAAAAATAACTAAGAAATTAGGTTAGTCACATTAACTAAAAATAACTAAGTAAGAATAACTAAGTACCTGAACCCAGTGATTTGTGTTTACAAAACCAATGCAGTAAAATGATACATTTGGTGAAAATGAAGTTGTCATAGGGAAGAAAGTCCAGCATTCAAATCCTAAACAAACAAGTACAACATTATAATGATTCGTTATCAAGTAACCTATATCTGGTAGAGTCAGCCACTTATGTGGTGGTTGAGGATCAAATGTCCCTATCATAAAAAATTCTCTCACTTCTGCTAACCGATCAGTAAATAAATTGGCATACAAACTTGATCTTTCATTATGTATTATTTCCAACCCCAAATCTCGACGAACCATTGGCTAACCATCTTCACCATATCTATGCAGTGAAGCAATGACTCAAAATCCACAATTACCATCTGATATAACATTAACTACATCATCAATATATGACCTGATGTGATTAGGAAACTGAAGGATGAACTGCTTAGATGACTGTGAAGATTGTGACAATTTCAACTTCTTCGAAGCTTGTGATGGCTGAGATTTCTTCTGTGAAGATTGTGATAATTTCAACTTCTTTGAAGTTTGTTATGGTTGAGATTGCCTCTGTGAATATTGAAATGCTTGATCAACATACTCATGATAAGAAAGGTCCCTATAAACATCATACCCTTCTATTTTTTTGCATTTCTTCTTGACTCCCCCTTTGGTTTTTATTTTCTCAGGTGGTGGACACAAAGAAGTCATTATGAGGAAGGCAAGTTCAAAAATCCTACTTTTTAATGCCTTTTTCCCAACTACATCTAGTGACCTAAACCTTTTCCATAACTCATCTACTGCACTACTCATATCCACCTCTGATCCATCATCTATGTCTTCCTCCAACTTTACTTCCATACTTAGTTTCCTCCAATGAACATGCACAACATTTATTGGTATCGGGATACCATCAATTCTATATTCTCTCAACTCACAAGCACAAGGTAATCCATATGTTGTTCTAAGAGTACAACAACATATTTCCTTGTTAGTTCTAACATAATCAACTCGTGTTAACTCTTCAGCAATGCGTCTCAATGCAACTCGAGACACTAAACCACGTAAATTATTGTAAAATGGACTTATGTGGGCGTACTCAACTTCATAAAAACTCTTTTGAAAAGAATCTATAATGTTGCCTAGTTGTAACTTTAAGTTGTCATTCATAGCCTCCCAACATTTGACCATGTCACTAATATTGTTCCCCAACATCTGCTTTAACTTCCAATGAGCAGACTCAACCCTAAAAATAATACATATTAAAAATAATTTAAAAAATACAATTTAGAAATACTAAAAATAAATACATACCGATTAGTCGCGGTGTTACCCAAATGTAACACTCGATTAACCCATGCTCCAACAAATCTTTGTCTATGCAGTGTCAACCATATGTCCTTCACATAATCAATAAATTCATTACAACCAACACACACCAGCTCAAGTTGGTTCAACCTTTGATCATACTCAATCTCATCACTAGCCCATACAACTTGCGTTCATAATGTGTCAATTGTCTCTTGAACGTCACTAGCCACATATTGTTTCCGTTTTGCACCAACATTTTTGTTAATATGAAATCGACAGAGAAAATTGATCGACCTTGGAAACACAGTTTCAATGGCTTTCATCAAAGCAAGATCTCTATTTGTCAAAATCACTTGTGGATAGAAATCTTTCTTCATAAACAATTGTTTAAGCTTATCTAACACCCAACAAAAAGTCTCAGTCTGCTCAGACTCAATATATGCAAATGTGACAGCAAAAGTCAACTCGGTTGATGCCATGTCAATAATTTCAAACAATTGTTGCCTATATTTATTTGTCTTGTAAGTGTTGTCCATAACTAACGCAATAGGAAAAACATTCAACAACTTAACTGAATTTGGATGAGCCTAAAGTATATCTCTAATAACTTCATAGTCATCTCTTTTTCTATTCCAATAAACATAATTTGCACCCTCAATAAGCTTAAACAAATGTTGTATCTCACTTTTAGGACCTCTTATCTCTTTTTCTATCATACTCTTATGCTTTTATATTTGCGTGAGCTGATTGACATTCTCTGGATCTTGCTCTTGCAAGAAAAGAAATATATGTCTATGTGGAACCTTTCTCTTTGTCAAATCAATAACTTATTGCTTCTGATCCGCTATCAACCTACCAACAAATGAGTGACCTTCTAATCTATCAGGTAAACCATGGTTATGAACTCCACATTTTACATCAATCTTCCAGCCAGATCCATCATTTGCTGGAGTTGACCTGATTCTAAATGGACATCCACATTTTTTCGTCGCACTCTGGGTTCCACTATCAATATCTTTGTGTTTCCCACCTTTATCACAACCAAATATTAATTTGTTACTTCTTCCTCTCTTGCTTGGTTCAATATCTGAACAAGTGATGATAACCATTCCTTTATTTTGGATTCTGGTCTCTTTAATCCATCTTATCACCTCTTCTCATGTACCAAATCTTTAAGTAGTTAAAAAAACATCAGACGTATCTACACATATCCAGTCTTTATCGCATATTTACATAGGAATTTATGTACCTGTAGAATATTAATTTGTTACTTCTTCCTCTCTTGCTTGTTTCGGTACTCATTATGACCAAACCGAAAGAGATGACAGAAAGTATTTCGGAAGAGTCATAAGTAGGTCGCAGAACTAGAAGTCTTTTTATAACACATTTGGTACATGTTTTGTAATGAACCGGAACTCTTAGCCAAAGTCTTCCGGTGTGAAAAAATACGTACCAGAAGTCATTTCAAAAGTGTTCCGAAATGATGTTGATGGAGTGAGTTTTTCGGAACTCTGGCAGTCTGACAGGAACAGTAAAAAGTAAAAAAAAATAAAAATAAATAAATAGGGATAAAATTGACATTTAAAAAAATAGGGATATAAGTATAATTGTAGAGGTATAGGGTAAAATTTTCTTGCTTCTTTAAGAAAAATCATAAAGTGGTAATTGAGAAATACATCTAATGAGATAAGTTCTCATAACCCTAATTCTCAAAAACAAATATAATCTCTCTTTCATTGGCGTCAACTTTTATATGATTGACCTAATTTTATTTTTATTTTAAAAAAATGACTTATAACTAAAATGGTTTTAAAAATTTCTGAATAAAAACGAACTTAAATTAAAATAATTAAATTTTGATATTTGATTAGGGAACCGAACAATTATGTTATATAAACAATTTTAGAATTCAACCAAACAAATAGTAAAGAAATCTAACCAAAAATGGAAAAAAAAAAAAAAAAAAAAAAAAGCTAAAAACAAGTTTAAATTTTTTTATTAAAAAATATTGAAAAACAAACATAATGGTCATGTTCTTTGGGGGAAAACCGTCATCTAACCGTTTTGTACGGTTCAAACTTCCAACCCGACATATCAAATAAATAATTTTAGTTCGATTCGGGACAAATTAAAGTGATTTGGATAACATTTTACTATGGTTCAATTCAGTTTACTTTTCAGATTGAATTTTACCATGAACAACCTTACTCACAACACATAGATTAATTGCATAAAATGACAAATTGCACGTACATGATAATGCATACAAATATGACAAAATTAAAGTGCTCAAATTACTAGTGCCTCTCAATCTTGATCATAATCAAATGAATACCGCAACAAAACAAGAATTAATACTAGTACCTTTGAACCAACAATTATCAAAAGTATTTTTTTTAGGAAAAAAACAATGATAAAAAAATGATTTGTTAATCAAAATCATATGAACATTGCAAAAAAACATAAAGTAATACAATTTTGCACAGAGACAGTAATGAAACAACATAATTGCATATAAAAAAACACAAATACAAAGCTTAAATATTTGTAAAAAAACACTTATTTAAATTGAAAAGAAAAGAATCAAAGTCAAAATGGATAATTTAAGATCAAAGTTTTAATGAGGAAGCAAACTCATCGTTCAATGTAAAAAAAAACATCAAATTCACATGCATGTACTTGTCATTACATGTTTTTGTACTCATCCTATGTTTGTTTGGAAAGAAATTGTGAAGAGAGAGTGAGCAAAGAAATAAATAGAAGTTATGTGTTGCGGTGAGAATAGGATATCAAATTATTAATTAATTTGAATCACATCTTTAGTTCACAATCGGTCTTTGATTTATCCGAAGGAAAAGGTCAAAGGAAGGAAAACCTAATTTTTGCATCGTAAACAATGCGGGGAGAGATCTAGGTAAGGGGTTGGTTAAGCTTAGGGAAGGTATTAGCACCCTAAACTTTTGTAGTACTCTACAGGAACCTCTTGTTTAAAGTTTACTATTTTGCTTGATTATTTGCTTTAGGGTATATGCTAAGGGTTAAAGATAAAGGAACCTAAGGGTTAGTCCTAAGTTTACTCGCAAAGACTCGCATCTTGTGCCTACGTATCTTGGGTAGGGATGGAATCAGAGTAATCGTAGTTCCCCTCGAAAGGGAGGTTAGAAACTTCTTGACTGTGGTCAAGGTTTCAATGGGGAGTAAGCGTTCTTAAGGAAGCGCTTACGTGGAGTGCGGCGACTCCTATTTCTATGTTGAAATAGTTGATTTGAAAATAGGGTTAAAATAGGTATTCCACGGCGGGAAACCTAAAGCAGAGTGCGGAGACTCCTTATCCTAAAGCTAGGGTAAAGGGTAAACTTGTCCACGGCGGGACGCCTAAAAATATGAGTACGGCGACTCGAATTCTCTAGGTTGTAAAGTTGAATTGAATTTAAAAGGGTAAAAAAGGTATTCCTCGGCGGGAAACCTAAAACAGAGTTCGGCGACTCCTTGACCTAATGCTAGGGTAAAAGGTAAAACTGTCCATGGTGGGACACCTAGTCAATTAGATTTTTGAAATGGTCAATGGTTAGGGTTATTGACTCGGCGGTCAAACTGCTAGACCTAATCCTTCGGAGGGGATTTAACGGTAAATAATGTCATGCAAAATAATTAAAGAAGCAGTATGAAAATATGGAAAAGTGCGAAAGCAGTAAAGAACATGCACAGCAACGATATACTCACATAAGTTACAACCATAAAAATGCAAAAATAACGACGGAATATAAAGCGACGATATCCTCGCATAATTACAACCCAAGAAAAATACAGAAAGAATATGAAATAAAAACGACGATGTCCTCGCATAAATTACAACCAAAAATGAAATGCGAAAAGTAAAGGATCAATAAGCAGTACAGCTGAGG